CCCCAGCAGAACCCCTAACCCCCCCAGCAGTAACCCCTACCCTCCCCAGCAGTACCCCTACCCCTCAGCAGTAACCCGTACCCTCCACAGCAGTAACCCCTACCCTCCACAGCAGTACCCCTACCCTCCACAGCAGTACCCCTACCCCCCAGCAGTAACCCCTAACCCCCCAGCAGTAACCCCTACCCTGCCCAGCAGTAACCCCTACCCTGCCCAGCAGTACCCCTAACCCCCCAGCAGTACCCCTTAACCCTCCCCGGCAGTAACCCCTCCCCTCCCCAGCAGTACCCCTACCCCCCCATACACAGTACCCCTACCCCCCTCACACAGTACCCCTCCCCTCCCAGCAGTACCCCTACCCCCCACACACAGTACCCCAACTCCCCACACACAGTACCCCTACCCCCCCGCAGCACCCTGTATTCAGCAGTGTGTGTGTGCGTGTATTCAGCAGTGTGTGTGTGTTTGCGTGTATTCAGTGGACTGTGTGTGTTTGCGTGTATTCAGTGGACTGTGTGTGTGTACTCAGCAGTCTGTGTGTGTGTACTCAGCAGTCTGTGTGTGTGTATTCAGCAGTCTGTGTGTGTGTACTCAGCAGTCTGTGTGTGTGTACTCAGCAGTCTGTGTGTGTGTGTGTGTGTGTGTGTGTGTACTCAGCAGTGTGTGTGTGTGTACTCAGCAGTGTGTGTGTGTACTCAGCAGTCTGTGTGTGTGTGTACTCAGCAGTCTGTCTGTATGTGTATTCATCAGTCTCTGTATTCAGCAGTCTTGTGTGTGTGTGTATTCAGCAGACTGTGTGTATGTATTCAGCAGTCTGTGTGTGTATGTATTGCATTTGTTGGAGATACTTATAAATATAAGCTTAATTTTATCTATTTATATCATTATTTAAAATTTGTATCATTGAACTCTCTGTGTTCTTTTAAAACAAAAGTTATTAGTTCGGACAACAGTACGAGTTGTTTTTTTCTAAACTTAAACCTCAGTATTTGGGTTTAATTGCCGTGTTGGCACTTTAAGGAGACAAAATGTTGGCATGTATTGCGGTTTGGGCACTCGGGCTCAAAAAGGTTCGCCATCACTGTAATAGAGCTATAAACCAGCTCTAGCTAAAGCACCTGACAGCGGTGCAATACCCACTGGTGGATGTCTAGTTCTAAGAATCAATATCTTAGCATACAGATAATTCATTGGATAGTTACCATCCAGAATTTAATAGAGCTACAGTTGTGCTCAAAAGTTTGCAAATCCTGGCAAAAATGTTGGCATTGATTTTGAAAATATGACAAATCATACAAAAAAAATTAGTTTATTAAAGGGTAGTGATCATATGAAGCCATTTATTTTCACATAGTTGTTTGACCCCTTTTTAGATCATACTGATAACAGAAATTACCCAAATGACCCTGGTCAAAAGTTTACACACCCTTGAATGTTTGGCCTTGTTAAAGATGCACAGGTTTACACACACAGGTTAAAGTGGCAATTAAAGGTTAATTTCCCACACCAGTGACTTTTCACATTGCAAATAGTGTCTGTGTATAAATAGTTAATGAGTTTGTTAGCTCTCACGTGGATGCACTGAGCAGGCTAGATACTAAGCCATGGGGAGCAAAAAAAACTGTCAAAAGATCTGCATAACAACAAGGTAATGGAACTTTATAAAGATTGAAAGGGATATAAAAAGATACCCTAAGCCTTGAAAATGCATGTTCAATCACTTATTAAGAAGTGGAAAATGTAGGAATCTCTTGATCATCCACAACTATGAGAAGAATTGTTTGGGATACAAAAAAAATCCACAGGTAACCTCAGGAGAAATACAGGCTGCTTTGGAAAAAGATGATGTGGTTGTTTCAAGGTGTACAGTATAACAATACTTGAACAAAAATGAGCTGCATGATCGAGTTGCCAGAAAGAAGCCTTTACTGCACCAATGCCACAAAAAAGGCGGTTACAATATGCCCGACAACACCTTGACACGCCTAACAGCTTCTGGCACACTGGAGTGACAAGACCAAAATAGAGCTTTATGGTCACAACCACAAGCACCATGTTTGGAGAGAGGTCAACAATGCCTATAGTGAAAAGAATACCATGACCCACTGTGAAGCATGGGGGTGCCTCACTGGTTTTCAGGGGTGTGAGCTCTATAGGCATGGGGAATCTTGTGACAATTGATGACAACATGAATGCAGTATATTATCAGAAAAAACTTGCAGACAATTGGCAGTCTTCTGCACGAAGGCTGCGCATGGGACGCTCTTGGACTTTACAGCATGACAATGGCCCTAAGCACAAGGTGAAGTTGACCCTCCAGTGGTTACAGCAGAAAAAAAGTGAAGGTTCTGGAATGGCAATCACAGTCTCCTGACCTTAATATCATCGAGCCACTCTGGGGAAATCTCAAATATGCGGTTCATGCAAGATGGCCAAAGACTTTGCATGGCCTGGAGGCAAGACAAATGGGCAGCTATACCACCTGCAAGAAATAGTGGCCTCATAGACAACTATTACAAAAGACTGCATACTGTCATTGATGCTAAAGGGGTCAATACACTGTATTAAGAACTAAGGGTATCCAGACTTTTGAACAGGGGTCATTTTTTTTTCTTTGTTGCCATGTGTTGTTTTATGATTGTGCCATTCTGCTATAACCTATAGTTGAATATGAATCCCAGAAAAAAATAAAATTAATGTTTTTTTGCCTGCTCACTCATATTTTCTTTAAAAATGGTACATATATTTCCAATTCTCCAAGGGTATGCAAACTTTTGAGCACAACTGTATGTACCAGCTCTGAGTAACACAGCATACAGCCCCCCACTCAGTGTCAAATATAGAAAGAGTGATTTCTTCACATTTGACAGAGCAGTAGTACCACTCCAGTTGTTGCGTTT